ATATGTTTATAAATAAAAGCTTGATTCTTAGCAATAATGATTTGATTTGTAATTGGATGTAAAATTAGAATGGGCCAAACTCTGAATTCTCTTTAAATCTAAATAATTTTTTCCGGGATGAAATGAGACTTTCATCAGCACAGTGAAAAAAGAGAAGGAGTCAATGTTTTGACATGGGCAAGGGCATTTCGTTTTAATCACTGCAAGAATAACTCCAATCATCATCGGAAGTTTGCCGTCAATACGGATGGATGAATCCCCTCCAATCTTTGACACTTCCCAATATGCAACGAATCGTTCAACTTGTGAAAAGTTAACAGAGCCCAAGAGAGATAGGAGGGAAGGAGATGGAGCAGGAAGGATGGAAGCGGTGAAGGAAAGTTGTCTGTCTGAGAAAGAGGAGAGATAGAGAGATGGAGAGAGAGGAGGAAGGAGGAGTAGAGATAACAAGAGGGACAGAGAGAGAGAGAGAGAGAGAGAGGGGGGAGAGGGGGGAGAAGAGAAGAGACAAGGTTATAATCTTGAGTAGTAGAGTGTAGTCACCAGTGTTCGACCTCTTAACCCACTCGGGACGCTCCTGTCCCGCTGGACCGGTGAAGGGGGGAGCTGCTATCTGCCAAACCTAACACGTTCAGCGGCGCTCAATAGGGCTTTCACACTTGCCCATGTCGTCTTTGCTACCTACGGGTTTGCACAGGGAATGTAAGGGCAAGACAAGGGAGATCGCAGCCGGCTCCACCGGGCTAGAATAGATGTGACATACCAGCTGTCAGGTGCCGCGTTACGGGCGTCAACGGGCTGGCCATCGTGCCCGCTCAGCCACACATCCCTAATTACGCTCCCGACACCGCTCCATCGCAGATCAAGCGAGGATTAACAGAGAGATTAAACGGTGCTTCCCCGTACCCCCCTCATTATCTACCCACACACCCATCCGAGCGGCAATGTGAAACCCGAGAGCTCCCGTTTAGCAGTTCTCAAACACCGATAGCTAAAGCAAACCCTAAACCCTTCCAAAAAATAACCCCTCATTCGAATCCCAAGTTGTCACAAAAGACGAACCACTCATCTCCGCATATCGTATTTCATTCTTTTCATCAGCTCGCGGTTCAAGCGCCTCTGCAAATCCCGGGAAGTTTATTAAGTGTACATCAAAAGGCAATTAACTGTTAATGTTTTGCCATTATCCGGCATGACGGGACTATACGTCTGACATTAAGTATACAGATAACAAGCACCGAGACCGATGGGGAGACTGAGATGGAGTAAGGATTGACTACAATTAAGATATTCCCCTCTTTTTGTGTCTAGGAAACTTTGTTGATTTAAAATGTCAAGAGAGCTTTTGAAAAGTGAATATTTATATAGGTAAAGAGAAAATATGAATGATGAGTGGCAAATGAATCTTTTAATAAAAGTGAAAGGGTTTTCATGTGTCTGTTCTTTGAAGTATAAGGAAGAGAAGAGACGCAAAGATTTACATAATCATTAACTATAAACTTTATTTCACTTTTCGTCATTCAACTGGACCATCATACATGGCAGAAGTTAAATAGAAAAATGTCCCTTATTTTTTATCATGCATTATGTAAGTTGAAATTATTGATAAAATCATATCGTGTATCTTAGCATACGTATAAATACATGGTTGTGGGTAGATGTGTGTGCGTGTGCGCATGTGTGTATTTATCTTTGAGTCTCTCTTACTCTCTCTATTAATTTTCTCTCGTTGTTCTGTTTGTCTTTATATAAAGAAAGACAAAGAACAAGAAAAACGATACATGATAATGTATACATGGAAGAAGAAAAAATAGAAAAAAGAAAAAGCTAGGGAAAGAGAGAGGGAGAGAGAGAGAGAGAGAGAGAGAGAGAATCAGAGCGAAACGGAGAGAAACACAGAAGAGGGAATATACTGTACATAGACAAGGTCAAGAAAACATCACGTCATCATGCAGGCTTTGAAGCATTATTTTATTAATGGTTTCAAAATGTTGCTTTCCCATCGAGTGCATGACGCAGGTGCATTTTCTACATTTGCAATCTCCCAGTAATCATAACCGAGTTTTGAAATTTGATTTCCTCTCAAAAAGGAGCGAGTCGGCATAATCTGAATTATCTGTATTAAAAGGGTATAGTGACCGCATATCAATTTCAAACCAGGCTTGGAGCTTAAAATGAAGGACAAGGTGTTCACCCCGACCATTATTATACTCAGCTTCAATCGAAATAGCGTCTTAACAGCCGCTTCTTAAATAAAGGTAAAAGCAAATCGCATAATTAAAAAAAAAAAAAACATGCATGCATATAGCCACGTGCAGATTGAGCCAGTCATCACCAATAATCCTCTTTTGTCCCCCTTTCTATCAATTTGATAACAGCTATGAACAAGTGAAAGAAAAGGTAATTGATGATCCTCATCAAACAAGTTCTCCTTTCTTAATTCCTTGTCATTAATAAATATACATACGGACATAATAAATTCGTTTTTTAGGTGGGATCCGTACTTATAATGCATGGTTTTGTGGTAGGGTCCATGGTTTGTGTTTATTATGAATGAGCTTTTGTATATAGTTTCTCAACCCAAGTGACTGTCCGTGCTACTTTAAACAAAGATACCATCAGGTTAAAATTGGACGGATTTAGTGGCATTTCCAACGACGAAGGTTTTGCGATCTATTGAATGGGATTGTTTTCGGTTTAGAAAGGGTTGATGGGATTTCTAGTCACTGATATCGATTTTGATCCTTTGTTTAAGGTGTAAGGTGGACAGGTGTCACCAATACATTGGTTTTGTGCGATGTGTTACTTTAATTTTTCCACATCAGTCCCACAAACCCTAAATGGCGTCATTCAAAGGATACCAAACTCCATCAAGTATTTACCCAATTATCCCTAAACGAAATGGACATGATATAGGCCTATTAAACTTTCCGAGCGGTTTAAGGTTCTGGGGCGAATCTAACGAAGTCATTGTCATCACCGGTTGGACTCGGTATTGTGTAGGCGTATTGCCTAATGACTGTATTAAACAATTTGCGTAAGATCTGACCTTAATCCATCTCCAACCAATAATCTTATTTTCGTCAGCGATCTTGACCATGGGGTAATTAGATTATGCCCGATACCTGTTAAACGCAAACAGCTATAATACAGGAAAGAATATAAATGATATTTGGTAGAATACGCCAAAATGAACTCCACTTCCCCGCTGTATCTTTTAATTCGACCAATTCGACTCATTCAAGAAAAAAAATACGGCGGACAGGCATTTCATCGATGAGAATTACTACTATTTTGGTAGTGAAATAAATCCCGTAATCTTTTTAATTCGAGCCCGTCCCGTTTAACAGACTTAAGTGGCATTAACACGGTCGACATGCGAGATCTGATTTGTATCGACGAAATTTGTGTTCGCTTCTTTGCGCGCCTAAATGGTCTGTATGTTTAAAGGCACACAACTCGGCACCGTGCAACGAGTGTGAGCGCGAAAAGAACCAACAGCACGCACGGTCGTGCATTCGCATGACTGACGGAGAGAGTGTATCGAGTCGAGTCTTTGACCAAAAAAGAGCGCGCGCGTCCTTGGACGGTCGAGAAATTGAAATGGAGATAAATCTAGCGATGCGATATGGGGAGTCATCCCTACCATGCTGGGCTCTCATAAACCCAATTAGCGGTGTTATAAGGGCGACTTACGAGATTAACAATTCTCACGACAGAACTGTTTTTCTCTCTTTTCCTCCTTCCTTTTTGTCTGGTTTCTAATCTATATACCCCTGCTACGTTCATATCTACCGTAGTAAGTTGGTATAATGATGTTCGGTCAAACGTAAAGACCTTGTTGATAATGATGATGCAACAGAGAGTTTGAGCGGGATTTGGTGGGAAGACTCATTTGTAAGATTACGTCTGACCTCTTTTTTCCTGGGGTCTTTGACAGTTTTCAGGGCAAGACACGGGGCCTCCATTAGGCTATTGGAATCCAAAAAAAGTAGAGAAGGAGAGGGTGTAGGAAATGCCCCCAGCACGGATTATTGCCACGTTCCCTCCCCGGGAGGAGCGGGGGGAAAGGCTGATTCATTCCCGCTCTGGCTGGATTGTAACGGGTAAATTTAACACAATTTCAGAATCGATACGAAGAAAACACATTGAATGGAGAGAAGTACAAATACTGGTTCAAAATGCTTTTCAAAGTTCGAACAAGCAGTTTTTTTTTTTTCGTTCATTATTTAATTAATGGTGATGCTGTATGAAGTACAAACTATCAAGTAATGCATCCTTGAAGGCTGACGACGATCGAATTTAATATACTTTGATATAACAAATACTTATTGCTATTTATTAATCCCTAAATAATCCTTTTAATTCATCTCAGCCAAACCGTCGAATCTCATTTCGTAATTATGAATATAGACATTTAGAGAAGAATTTCGAAACTGATATCCATGTGTAAGGTTTTCTTGCAAAAGATTATTCAATTTTTAATTCCTGTTGAATATTTTGAAAAATGGGTTAGAATCATCAGGATATATATAATGACAGTGAATACACATATCTATGTGATAATTGTAAATTGTTGTAAAAATGTGTTAATACATAGGCCTAGACTCAGGTGGAAGTTTTTCCGAGTGTAAATGTATTTTTATGAGTTTGTGATTACTGTGCGAAATTATAAAGATCACTAACAAAATTATAGATTTTGTGATTTAAACAAAGTTTATATTAATGTGGAAATGTATACATTTATTCAAAAATGTATAATTTCATTGCAAATTGTATAGATTCACATTAACAAATACGTATTTTCACATGCAATAATGTTTACATTGTGATCATCAATAATTAATATCTATTTTCCCAACACAGCTTTAGTACCCTAATCTTGCCTTTCATCCTCTTTGACAACTCTCTCTCTCTCTACTTAGTCATTACTTCTGCTTAAAAACGCTTATTCTATTTGACACACAAGAAAAACATATAGAACGTGGATGAGCGCTTACAATGCTACTCACATGTCCGTGCTGGTCCAAGTTGTTGTTGGTCAGCTTGAGCTTGTGGAAGGTGACCACTTGCTTCATCCAGACCGCCCCGGTGGCCGGAGAGTCCGGGTGGATGTAGAGCCGGCTGGGCATGTGGGGTTCTGCTTTACCGGACACCACCCATTCCGAGTTGTGGTACTTGTAACGGGTGTCATCCACGGGGACAATGTCCATGAGGAGAATGTACTTGGCATTCTGCTCCAGCCCCGTGATGCTGCAACGAAAGGTCGGGAACATCCGCCTAGAGAGAGAGGGAGAGAAAATAAATTAGGGTAAAAGGTAAAAGCATGATGACCATACAGATAAAATGTACGATAGTGGTCAAACATTGCGTTTGGATTCCAAATATTTCAGATTAAAAAGAAAGAAAACTAAATTTAAGTAAAATTGAAATTATACAGTTCCTCAAATAACCACACCAGAGACATTAAAATAAGAGGCAACTATGTCATTTGCATAATAAATGATAACTAAAAACAAAGCTAATATGCGCATAAAATACCTAGCAAAGACTATATTTTAGCTAAGTCGCATTTGCTTTAGGATATACTACTTTAGCTGTAAGGCCATCACTTCTATACTGGGAAAAGGGTACGTTACTTTGAGGAGAATTAGAGAATCAATATTGGATCAAATAACAAAAAAAATCTCCCCATGATTCAGACCTTATGAGTGATAACTATTTCTCACAGTTCCAGTTAAACAAATATGATACTATATTCTTCATATCAAAGTGCAATGCGTGGAAATAACTCGCTAATTAAAAACAGTTTGTTTTTCAATGTGTGTTTTCAAAATGCTTTGATTTGCCGTAATCCGCATCTTACATTTCCCCTACCATCATAGCAATATTATTTTGTACAATACTGATGGGATCGTGTCGTTCCCCCTAAAGTCTGGTTTAGCACCACGTTCGCACCCTTTTTCTGAAATAAATGCCAAATAAATTGGACCGTCATTTTACGTCTCAACACCCCGTTATAAGGAGCCCCGATCCCTCTGAGGATTCGGAGAGTGGTAGACTGGTAGGAACCCACTTTCACCCCGAGTGAGAACTAATGAAAAGCGTGTTAAGGTATGCGTGAGGAATCAAACGTAGATGCATGAAAATCATCACCAGTCCATTATCTCTAGTTCTGTATACCAAATCATAACCGCCACAGCTACGATCACCACCACCACCATCAATACCACCATCATCCTCATCATCATCATCTTCTTCATCATCCGCTTCAACGGATCATTGTTTCAGCCTTGATTATCCTCCGCATCACATCACGCTGTGATTTTTATATTAAAAGGGGGGCCACTTGATCCTAGTCGTGACAACATTTCAAGCGCGACGTGTGGACGTCATTAAAGAGCTGTGATCAAATCTCAGACTTTCATTTGTCTTTGACTAGTATTGCAGCGGAGGGGTAGGTAGAAAGAAAGATGGGAGCAGGTTGCATTCTTCCACATAAACACCACCGATTAGCGATACTTGTCGCTTTTCATGCTTTCCCCCTTAAACCGTGACGCGTTTTATGCTTTTCAAGATGGTGTGATCATCATTACTAAGGGATCTATTTCAGAGAGAGTTGAAGAGTCATGAATTACTGTCATAATGAGTTTACCCCAAGGAGCGATAGCTAAATGTGTAGAGGAAACAATGCCAACAATAGTGATGAATAGCATATTAATTTCCGAACATCTCACAGGGGAATTTAAGACGAAAAAACCTTCGTGACGACTCTTCGGGGGAATCAAACAGTATGTCTATCTAAATACAAACCTTCAGCAAAATTGCAAGTAGTAATTTAGAAAGAAGCTCATCGATCTCATATCCCAAGAAACTTTGTGTGATACTTTGTTCCATCCGATGTTTTATTCATTTATAATGCTCTCTCTTTCTATTAACCCAGTCATCTTTTTTCTTTCTCTCTCTCTCTCTCTCTCTCCCTCCCCCCCCCCCCCTCTCCCCTCTCCCTCTATCCCTCTCTTTCTTTCATTTTCCCTCTCCTCTCGTTTCTTTTAACTTCTTCAAGTAAAACAGGTCCAACTTGTTAAGCCGCCCCGCATTTCACCATACCCCTAGAGCCCCACATTAGGTCCACGCGTGCCCCCATCGCCCCAAACCTTAGCACGCGCTTACCCCCTCTGTACAAACACGTACCGCTCTCCAACCCCGACTTGGCGTTTCGTTTAGTTTCGGGCGCTGTTGCAAGAAAACTTCATTAATAATCTATTTTTCGCGAACAGGGCTCCACGAGGCCCCTTTTCGGAGTATAACGCGTATTGTATAAATATTGTTATTCACAATAATGGCTCGTAGGAGGATTAGTTATAACTGTTGCAAGGGTCAGGGTATTTGTAACAATAGCTTCCTCCAGAATTTGTAAGAGTTTCGTTCTGAGCGCTGCAAAGTGTTTTTCTACCACATATTTCCTCGTCTGAAGTTAATGACTTCCCAGAGTAATCCCTTAGCTATAGAACGAACCGTTCTTTGGCTAGTTTGGAGGTTTTAATAGTTTTAATACGCAACTTTTTTTTCCCCCTCCGTGGCAGTTAATTTTACAAATTTTTCTTTACTTCATCATTTTTATGCACACATTTCTTTTAAAAAATCTAAAAGCAGAATAATGATTAAAAGAAATAAGAATCCGTATCAAAAACTAGTTTTGCCTTTGTGAAAGATATCTCTTACATCATCGGTTTCCTATCTTTTTCATCTTTTTTCTTTTAATTTTCCGCTTTTTTAAAAATTCCGTCCGTTTTATAATCATGATTGCTAATTTATATCTTTTATTATGAAATGTATAACGTAGTCATTCATTCATCTTCGGGAAGACCTTTAAAGTCTTCCCAAGTGCCAAGTGATTATACCAATGTGTATAAATATAAATACCTGCATGGCAATCTTTACACATTAAAGCCTGTAGAATGTTTTTTTTTATAGTGAGATGAAAGTCTGTACGACTTTTTTTTTACAGGCTTAAGTGAAACAAAAACTTGGTTAAGTGCATGCTATTCTGAAGCACGCGATGCTGACAAGTTTGAAAATCCCTCCATCGCACTCCTATGCTGATATAATAGCAGAGTGATGGTTATCATTAGTCATATATATCAATGGTCTGAATTTCACCAAACCAAGGCTCAATGCTGAAAAGTAACGATTAGCTTTCCACAACTTCAGCTGGGGGCTTACGTTGCACTTTGGATAAACAACGACCAAAACCAGAATGAACAAAAACATACTCTGATAGATATATTGTTTCGTTTTTCTCTTCTTCTTTCCAAGGTGGTTAAATGGATAGTAGGGTTTGTATTATTTGCGGAGAAGCCAATATGACGGCCCTCCTTTCCGTTGCTTGTGATACAGGGACCCGATGCCACCTGTCTAGCGGGGTCACTCGACATTCTGCCAACGATTTTTGCCACGTCTGGGACTAGAGGCAGCTGAAAGACTCCTCTTGCCTTCCTCCCTACATCGGGCTATGGGTGTGAAAATAGCGATCTTTAGCACTCGCTCCCAGCTCCGGTAAGTTGACTAACGCTGCAGTCAGCGCAACTATTCCCTATCCTATATAGCTTTATTTTCTTTTATTTTCTTTTATTTGATGTGGAAAATAGAGAATCCTATACTTCTTGTTGTTTTGTTGGATTGTGATTTCATCGCGAGATGGACATTGTGGGGGAATCAAAGAAAAATTACAGAGTTGAAAGAAAGTAAAAAAGAGAGTGAGAGAGAGAGAGAGGGGGAGGGGAGGAGTAAGATAAGAGAGAGAGAGAGGGGAGAGGAAGGGGGTAGTGTATCTGTACCAGGGAACGAAAAAAGAGGGGGTCGTTAAAGATTTAAGAAAAAGAAAGAAAATTTACTGAGGGAATAAGCAAAAAGGTAATTAAGGAAAACGTAACAAAATGAAGGGGGTTGGAGAAAGACAGGGGGGGGAGAGAGAGAGAGAGAGAGAGAGAGAGAGAGAGAGAGAGAGAGAGAGAGAGAGAGAGAGAGAGAGAGAGAGAGAGAGATGAAAGGAAGACAGGTTGGCCTAAATGTAAAATCGAATCAAGAAAGCTCAAGGTAAAGAAAATATGGGGAGAGGGGAAGATGGAGAGGGCCAGGAGAGCTGGGAGAGAAAGAGAGAGAGAGAGAGAGAGAGAGAGAGAGAGAGAGGGGGGGGGAGACACACACACAAAGACGGACAGAGAGAGAGAGAGAGAGAGAGAGACAGAGAGAGACAGAGAGAATCAGGGAAAGTAGGGTAGAGTAGAGAGGCGCGTTAAGAGGGTGTGAGATGGTGTTATGACAGATGAAGACATGACAATATTGGAACAAGGGACTTGAAATTAACGCACTATTGATCGTGAAATTGGGAAGCATCCATGGGGATTTCAAGAAAAAATAAATCAACCTTACTCATTTTCTTCCCATTTTGATATACATCTATTTATAATTTCCAAGTATCTATTTTCACTCGAAGTGAATGAAATGTTGTGCAATGACCTGTATCAATTCCACCTTCATATTAGCACATCGTATTAAACTGAAACACTTTGGATGGTTTGAATTGCCTTCCTCATATTATCTTAATCGCGTTTCATGTAATATACGGTTTACATTTGTAACTTTAGTTTTTTTTCATGAATTGAAAAGTATGGAAAATATAGGGAAGAGATTTGCGTGTTGTTTTACATTTCTCTTCTTTATATACGAATAAATAAAAATGTTCACTTAATGTAATAATTGAGAATTATTTTTCGTTGCATCTTTTTATAATTGTAAGTATGGAAGAAAAAAAATTGTCATCGCTATATACCAATAAGTGTTTACCTGTACGCAGTGTGAAGATATTATCCCATTACTTCACAATTTTCTTCTTGAAATCTGAAGATTTCCGCTACCAAAAATTGTTAAAATATCTATGCCTTCGTTTCACAATAATATTGCGTTAAAGAGTATCCACTTTAATTGCAAAGTTCGACCAATAGTTGTTGGAATATTCACGTATATGAATCTTACCAGTATGTACTATAAATCATTATATTGCTAAAGAACAGGTGAACCTGAATAATCATAATTAGTCATCAAAAGATAAGGTTGGGCGATTGTAAATTAGATCATGACCCAACTTTCTATACCCGTATTAAGGTTAGCTCAATTACAAAAAAGAGAAACTTGAAGAAAAAAAATCGGACGTTAAACAATCTGTCACTCCATCCTGACGTAGTTAAATGAATTTGATAGAGTCGCTTCTACGGGGC